TTATAAACTAATGGAAAATTATTTCCACCAAAAGTGGCAAATGGGTCTTTAGTTAAGACAGCCTATTTTGGGAAGAGTAAAGGAAAATTGGCAAGCATAAATGAAGAAAATTAGACATTATCAATTCATGTCTTATTTATTTGAGAAGAAATTCCCCTAAAGGACAATGATATGGTGATCCTGGTCTGCATGTATTACAATGTCCATCGTCTCAAGTAACAAGCTCTTCTCTGGTTGTGGGAAACAGCTCTCAACTCTTTTTTGTCTAGTGTATTTTTCTTTTCTACAATAGAAATGTGTGTCTAGGTACAGGTGGTGATGAGATAGAAAGTTTTAAAATAGCCAGATTAATATATATATGAATAATACATAAATATGCATTAAATTTATATGAATAACACAGATTGACAGTAATTGTCTTTCTTCCTTTCACTCAGATAAGGGAAGCCTCTTCAAAAATGCATGATTTATTATATTTTTTTAAAATTAATTCAAATATATTAATAGAAATCACACCAGTCATTAATATCATTTCAACTCCAGTCATGACTGAAGCCAGAATATGTTTCAAGGTCCAAAGAAAGAGGATGTATTAGGGCTCTTTCTTGCAAGTACCCTTTAGGTCCAGAGGAACATATAGTGCAATGGACTGGTGGTGTATCCAAATAATTTGCTAATCAATTGTGGAGAGGTAAGTATAGAAACTGAAAGATATATATAAAAAAAAAATTATAGCCATTTCATGGATTAAATTTATGTCTGTTGAAGCTAATTTTAAAAATTGAGCTTGCATTTTGATTATTTGTTTTATACTTCATTTTTATTAAATTTTGCAGCTATTAAACCATGATTAAATTTAAAAAGAAGTAATACTACACTCCAGATAAGTTTGAGAAATACTGTTCTAAATACCATCAGAGCCTCCTAAGGTAAGTTGTGTCACACCATCAAACAGGGAGGAATTGCCCAATAGACAAGGTAAGCCCTGGCTAGCTTGTGCTTACTTATTAATCTATAGTGAACAATTATGCATGTGAAACTCTTCACTACAGATTCGAAAGTACAGTGAACCCATACTTACCTTCCTTACTGGATACTACATCCCTGTCAGGGTTTGTAAATTTGAAAAGAGGCTATGATTCTGTCAGAAGGTGCTGTGGGGTTGGGAGGGAGACTAATACCAGTCATATCTAGAAGCAGACTCTTTGATGTGGAGAAAAATTTGAATTTTTTCAGTACAAATTACTAACTAAGCACAAGTAAGCCTGAGCTTACCTTGCTTATTGGGTAAATCATCTGTGCCATCAGACCTGGGTTGGGGGAAGTTTGTAGAGTGTGTAGGAGAGTAATATCTATCCACAACCCAAATCTTCCAGGTGCAGGGCCCATATCTTATCACAAATGCACAGGAGAAAATTTATATTCCATCATTTCCCCAAGGACTGACAGAAAATAGATAAAGACAAAATTCAGTGTTCACTCTCCCACTCACTTTCTCTTCCTCAGAATGTGGCTATGAGACTGGAACACACTCGTGCAGAATAAAGTTTTATTATTTCTCTCTGAGAACTCAGGCCATGGTACAGACAGAAAAGCCTGGAATGTGGGTGAAGAGTAGGAAAGAGAAGGGAGGATTAGAATGAGAAGGTCAGTTTGAGAGGGTGGGGGGGGTAGATATTTTCTTCCTGGGTGGTTCTTCACACTAGATCTCAAATTCATGACGATCAATCAGCTCCAGGTGTAAATTTTCACTCTCCTAGTCCTTGAACTTGCAGACATAGGGTAACTTCTGTTCACAGTTAAAATCTTTCCATCTCAGGAATCCTGGAGAGATAGAGAGGTAAGGTGGATGGGACTGGTAGAGATTGTGAATCCAAGGGGAAGACAGACGATATTCTGGTCTAAGATTCAAAGCCCCTCCCTCATTTTCCCCAGTGTTCCACTCAGTTAAGACACACACACACACACACACACACA